TCTGCCAGACAATAAAAGAACATATCTCTGACAAAACCCAAATGCTTTGATATTCTAACCTTGACCTTGGCAGTAAACCTCCTATGTTGTGTTTCTGATTGGGAAAAGTTGTAATTTAGCACTGACAGGAAGTACATAGGACTACTGCATTGTGGGATGGTGAAGATATGTACACTTGATCATATCACATATAACAAACACTAGTTGTAAGTACAGTGGGTTCATACATACATATATCATCCGAATATCGTATTTCCATATTTCACTTGACTACATTGTTACAGTGTTTGTGTGAACTGACAACCCTAAAGGTAGTTTTAGGTACAATTGTCTTATCATGATAATCAACATTTTTCAAATGACGAGATCATCCAGTGATTGTTCCTCAATGTGATGAATATATTTTGAAGAAGATGGGCTCCTTCTTTCCAAGGTGAAACGGTTAAAAACTTTGAAGTCAATTTCAACCGATATTTCTCCATTGATATAGTGAACTGATATGTTTAGTTCAGGAATGTATGCACTCTCACAACCATTTCAGATTCTCTTCTCTTCACAGGACATACAGATTCCTGCAGTAAGTTGTACTATTAGGCTAAAAAAAATAATATTCTTTGTTCTCAGGCACCGCCCGCATCATCATAAAGTCTGTCTCACGTTTCATTTTTATTTCCATTTTCCCCCCAAAAGTAAAAAATCTTAATACCTAAAAAAAAATGTGCAGTTACTTCCCTTTACATGCGCACTGCTTTACTGCGGATCTAGTGTTATGGTCATGGCGGCAATAGGGGTTTGTATGCTTCTTTATGTAGGGAGGCCCTTTCCCTTTCACAGGTTGGTGGTACACAACTATTTATTTGGTTACATACTGGTTCGAACAAGAGAAAAAAGGCAAAAAAACACTAGCCTGCACTATATTTTCAAAAGTCACTGACTGAGAACCAATCCTTTTAATTTTTTAAGCTTTAAAACATAAATATTATATTATAATACATATTTTTGGTGTCACATTAAAATACATATTTCATGTATAATATTTTGAGACCTTGTATGTGTGTCTGGAATTCAATGTTCTTGAGCTGATCAAAGCATATATTGTTACACTATAAATGTTAATAGGGTTTGGTAAGTAGAAATAGAAATGTAGACTCCAGCCTTGGATCTGAGGACATCCCATTCGGGGTGACGTCAGAATGACCTTTCATGTGACCAACCAGAGCGTCGCTTACCCGATCATGAAAGTGACAGTCGGTATGTGATTTCTAATCATGCAACCTCGAAAACTTTAACGACTGAATCCATACAATCTGGACCATCAATTAGCCATTCCAGAATGTTCTTTTGTTCAGGCTTCAAGTTTTAATCACAAATTTATCAAGAAATGTTTCGAAGCGTAGTCACCAATTTGAAATTAGTGCCGTAAAGCACGAGAGAGCTGCCTTCTGATTGGCTAATGTCTACTTCTTGTCAGTCGTTCCATTGGTCGGTCAAAGTTTACACAAGGTCGGTCTGACGTGACCCGTAATGCGGTGTTCTCAGTCCTTTGTTTAGAGGTAGCGAGAACTAAGATCTATTTAAATGAGATTGTTGGTATCCACACATTGTGTCTACTTTGTTGACTTATATAGCAAATAAATACATTTTTGGTTTGACCAAGACATTTTTATACAAAACTAAATATTTCAAATTCATGAGTATATTCAAGCAAGAAAATATAAAACCACAACCGTAATCCTTTGGCAGCAACGCACAGTATTTAATACATGTATTCACGCAGCCTCATCACATATGGATGGTTCACCCCATACACATTCACAATACTTCAGGTCCAATCTCATACGAGTACAAAATACTCTGTCCATCCCTTTCCGTTACTATGGTTACACTGAATGGGTGCATGTTCTTTTATGCAACAGTCAGCCTAGTCCAATCATATCACAATAGCCTGTACATAATCAATTCTAGGTCAGGCAAACAAGTAGCCAGCATAACTAATACTAATAGTCCATTTAAAACATTTAGTCAATTCAAAAGATTTACATATAATCATAGAAGCTAGGGCTGGGACGGGTAACTCGAGTACCCAGTTCGGGTGGGTACTGAGTAGGACCCGGGTACCCACAGGACTACCCGGAACCATTGTTATTGTTTAATGACAAAAAAATATCTAGAACTCTATGGTTACACTCAAGTCACTAATGTTCACATTTCTTCCTGACTATGCACCCATTCCTTCTGATTTTTCATATGGTTGAATAAAGAGATGACTTAATTCAACTTCAGTGTATGAATGACCGGATTGTTTAAATACTATCTAAATACGTTTTGCCAGGGCTATCCAAAAAAATGTTCCCAATCGGACATTTTGAGACATCTCCTGAGACCAAGAGTGGGTACCCGGGTAGGGTCGGGAAACAGGGTGGTGGGTACCCGGGTAGTAAAATTGGACTCGTCCCTGCCATAATAGAAGCTATGTTCACAGTCAAGGGGCAATTCACTCTACACTGATATAGAACTGGGCACAAAGCGATCTTAGCACTAACACGATCTTAACGCCATACTTTAACACTGACTTGGATAGTTGTAGCACTAAGGTCACTTTGTGGAACAGGGCCCAGCATACCTTCAAATACATGGAGTCTTTGGTTTACATGATTGAGAGAAACTGGTCAAGGCGAAATGTTGGGTAACCAGACAATGACTGTGATGTGAGACAGTAAAATGTAAGTAAATATGGTGCAGCAGAAGCGAGCACTAAGATCTCATTCTTATGAGACTGCATAAGACTTCAGCTGACAGATGTCATGATATATTCCACGGACATAGAGACACGTTCTTTATTATCAGTTCACCTGATACTTTAAAAATTTCACAACTCTCTTCATCACACAAATGTTTGTCTATCAATATCGGTAAAAAGAATAAACGCAATAAATTTCTGCATTAAAGTCTTTAAAACAATTAATCAAATTAGTCTGGCCTACTGAACATAACTTAAAGACGGCCTTGACAGTGAACAATGAGTTTTGTGCCGTAGTGTGACTGTTGATAGATGAAGTTCATCAGGGATATTAGATCATGACATTCAATTCTCCCCAAAATTCAACCATCTGAGTAATGACCCAATAATGAGACATGTACGTCAACATAGAATGAAGAAGAAATATTTCGGTCTCTGAATAAAATACTACTGACCTAAAACTGGTTAAATATGTATATTTCTCATAAATATTCGAACTGTTGATGAAACAAAATTGGACGCAGCATAAACATATCTGAATGATTTTCTTCACCTACCCCACAGATAACCTGGAACAGGCTTTGATAGTCTGGCATTCACCTGTTAATGGGAATCCATTCTTGTTGAACTATATGCGACTACACTGTAGAAGATATTAACCCAGAGATCTAAGTGACTTCCACACTTTCCTGAGAAAAAATTTGTAACGTACCAGGGAATCTAGTATCAAAAACGTCTGTACTACTCCAGAAAACCAAGGCCCATTCCACAAAATGATCTTAGTACTATGACTGTTGTACATCTATGTTACAGTATAGGAGTTAATCTTTGAGCTAAGATTGCTTTGTGGAATTAGCACCAGGGGCCTGTTCCACAAAGCAAACTTAGTGCTATGATTGTCCTAAGCCTATGTTAAAGAATGGGAGTTACGATCATCTTAGCACTAAGATTGTTTTGTGGAACAGGGCCCAGGGTCCTGTTCACAAAGCGATCTTAGCGCTAAGTCGATCGCAACTCCCTTTCTTTAACACTGACTTGCGACAGTCATAGCGCTAAGATCGCTTTGTGGAACGGGGTCCAGGACTTATCTTACGATCTTTGCGCGTCGACTATCAGAGGTCAATGCTAAAGTGTGGGAGTTACAATTGTCGAAGCACTAAAAACACTTTTTGTAAGTGGCCCTAGGACCCTTGTCGTTTCTTAAAAATGAAAACAATTACCGCCTAGATCAAAATGTCTCAATGGTTGCCTAGCACTGAGGAATGAATATGTAGGGATTATGGATGGATGCTGATGTGAAATAAACATTATGGTCTTTAAATGTTTTTTATCTCAATAAATGAATATCAAACAAGAACTAAAGAGGTCCATGAGGATTTTGGCTGTGGTATTTGACTCAAGGACTCATTAAGAATGATATCCTAAACATTAGAACTGTTAATTTCCAACACTGGACACAAATCATCACTGCGTTGGCATAGGGTAATGATTCAATCATCAGGTACAACGGATCACTGAAATAGCACTAATATATACAGCACTGAGTACACACCTTTAGATCAACCTCTATCATCATAAGATGGATGCTTGGTGACAGTTACTAGTCCGGTCCATCAGACACCACAGTCCAATGATCTTCTCTCACAGGTTACACAGTGTGTAGGAATCTCACTGGGCTAACCAAGTAGTGATACCAAATAATGCTGTGAATAAATACAATGTGGTCAATGAATGCTGGCGATGTTCATGCATGACTCAGTTGATAGATCGCTTAGTCAATGTATGCAGCGATGTATCTACAGCCGATGTATCTACAGTTCGGTGTGTATCGGGACTCCCTTGGACATGGTTGTGCACATCTTCCTGAGGCAAGGGAGTTAGCTGACTATGAAAGTCCAGTTTCCACCCTTGCCGAACTAGGCTGGAATTATGGGGCTATATTTTGGCTTGACTTACGAGTGTATGCATAGTCCAATCAAAACCACATAAAGAAATCGACATCTGGTTTGTTAACTGCTGTGCAGATTTTGGTCGATTGCAGGATTTGCAGAACATGTGTACCTTCAATTTAGCATGAAAATAAATATTCCTAATCTTTTCATGTTTTTAATCAAGGAGCTCACATGATTTGATCCACTTCGCGAAGTAAGACCCATTGTATTACAATAAAGATCTTGATTATCGACGAGATTGTCTACAATCGAGCCCAGAAATTCCAGGCTAGTTTGGCAAGGGTGGAAACTGGACTTTTGCCTCGGGAACATGGGTTGTGCAGTGCACGGCCGACTTCAGTCACATCATCAATCCTTCTGTGATTCTGGTTTCTACATCCTGAAGGCTACTGTGGAGGATCAGATATCTTTATAGGGAGCAGGGCTCACTTCAGTGACATCATCAATGCTTGAGTGACTCTGGTGTCTACTCCTGAAGGCTACGTATGGTTATTTGGTGTCCACCTTCACCCAGCGCTGGATGGAACGCTTCATGGAATCCACCCACCTGAATAAGAAGCATTCACTGATGAGGCCAGAAAAAACGTCTTTCATGTTTTACAGATGAAGCTGCCCAAAACTTGCAAAAATAATATGAAGAAGTTTTTGACTGAATATAAGTTTAACACCTTTTATTTTTAGCTGTATTATCAAGATAATTTTTTCCTTAATAATTTCGATAAATAAAACATCTGAATTGCCAAGCCTGTAACACTTGAACACCCATTCCAAATAGTGAATAGGTCAATACCTCAGTATACAATAGTCCAGCTATAATACAGCGCCTGTAAGGAACTGGGCCCACTTGCACAAAGCGATCTTAGCGCTAAGATGACCGTAACTCCCATACTTTAACATAGGATTACCATAGTCTTAGCGCTAAGATCGCTTTGTGCAAGTGCGTCCTGGTCATGTACTATGGGGGGGGGGGGACTGGTGAGATTACAGTCTGTGTGGGTGGGGGGTTGTTAGGATCGGGGGTTTAAATGAAAACATTAAAGTTCTAGTTTTTCAAACAAACCATTTATATACATGTTACCAGTCCCTAAATAATTGAAGTGGGTCAGGCAAACCAGTGGTTGATAATATGAGCAACAAGCTCAGTTTGCTATGTGTATTACACTGTGTGTATCACTGGAGACAAATACCCACCGTGCTTTGTCTGTCTCATTCTCAGCACAGAAGTAAAAGGTTCTCATTCCTTGTTCCGGTGGTTTGAGCACAAAGCTGTGGCGCCGCCCAGGAAGGCCGTTCACGTCTACTGTGTAACCATGGAGATGAGCCACCCCTGATACAAAATAAAGATTGAACATATTTCCGTCTTTGCTTTTGATTTATGCACATACTGAATATATCCATTTATGTCTTCAAAGTAACCAACTCAAGGCTAGTCACACTTGCTTGTTCCTATTCATTCATGAAGCTGCTTGGTCTGTGGCTTTCCCAAGGTGGTACACATCTATGACTCTAGTTGTAGCCATATTAGCCTCCACATTAGCTCTGATGATGCAAACACTTTTCAAAGCTGCCTTAAACCCAAGTCACTGCCTCACTCACTCTATGTCTGAAAAAAAAGAGACCACCTCCTTGGTCTAGTGGTAGAGCGTCCGCCCGGAGAGCGGAAGGTCCGGACTTCATTCCCCGGCCGTGTTATACCAAAAGACGTTAAAAGATGGTACTTGTTGTTACCCTGTCTGGCGTTTGGCATTAAGGGGCTAAAACAAGGACTGGTCAGCTCGGAGTCAGTATAGTGTGTCTGAGTGGGGTATTCATGTTAAACTGCGGCATGGTATCTCAGTGTGCTAGCACTATACATCGGTATCAGTCCGGACTAGTACAAGCAGCCACACACACACACACACACACACACACACACGCATGTACGCACACGCATACGCACACGCACGCGCAGGCAGGTTGCTATGTACCGGTAGCGGAGTGCAATAATCTTGGACACGACGATAGATCCAATTTCACCTCACCTCACCTGAAAAAAAAATCATGTTAATTCTACTGATCAACTTGTCAGGAGTAATCTCCCTTGGTGCACAATCCACTCTTGTTCATTGTCAAAGTGGATACAACACTATAACTGTCAGGGTAAGCTGGTCATGGGTTCAAATCCAAGAAACTCCCACGTTAGACACTCAATTGGTCTGATAGTACCAGACCCATATTTAGTGTGAGTTTACATACCTCCCAAATAAACTAGGCGATAAAAATGCCGACTGTCACTCACCCTGTGCACTATGGGAGGACATGAGTTTATAGTAGTAGATGCAGGCATCCTTCAACACACAGTAGCGCTTCTTCCACACCTTCCTCTGTCTCCCCATCTTGGTCAGGTAGCCAGTGGACTCTGGGCGCCGGATCTCCAGGGCAGGCAGACCCACGTTGTGGCTGCTCACATCAAGCCACGAGTCCTTCTGTATAAAGAGATTAGGGGGAACAAGGTTATCACACCATTGTCATGGCTGTATTACCTACGAGTCCTTCTGTATACAGAGATTAGGGGGGAACAAGGTTATCACACCATTGTCATGGCTGTATTACCTACGAGTCCTTCTGTATACAGAGATTAGGGGGGAACAAGGTTATCACACCATTGTCATGGCTGTATTACCTATGAGTCCTTCTGTATACAGAGATTAGGGGGGAACAAGGTTATCACACCATTGTCATGGCTGTATTACCTACGAGTCCTTCTGTATACAGAGATTAGGGGGGAACAAGGTTATCACACCATTGTCATGGCTGTATTACCTACGAGTCCTTCTGTATACAGAGATTAGGTGGGGAACAAGGTTATCACACCATTGTCATGGCTGTATTACCTACGAGTCCTTCTGTACACAGATATTAGGGGGGAACAAGGTTATCACACCATTGTCATGGCTGTATTACCTACGAGTCCTTCTGTATACAGAGATTAGGGGGGAACAAGGTTATCACACCATTGTCATGGCTGTATTACCTACGAGTCCTTCTGTATACAGAGATTAGGGGGGAACAAGGTTATCACATCATTGTCATGGCTGTATTACCTATGAGTCCTTCTGTATACAGAGATTAGGGGGGAACAAGGTTATCACACCATTGTCATGGCTGTATTACCTACGAGTCCTTCTGTATACAGTGATTAGGGGGGAACAAGGTTATCACACCATTGTCATGGCTGTATTACCTACGAGTCCTTCTGTATACAGAGATTAGGTGGGGAACAAGGTTATCACACCATTGTCATGGCTGTATTACCTACGAGTCCTTCTGTATACAGAGATTAGGTGGGGAACAAGGTTATCACACCATTGTCATGGCTGTATTACCTACTAGGACAGAATTACCCAATCTCATTAAAATCAGATCTTAGTTCTCGCTACCGCTAAACAAAGATCTGAGGACATCCCATTAAGGGTCACGTCAGACCGACCTTGCGCGAACTTTGACCGACCAATGGAATGACCAATCAGAAGGCAGCTTTCTCGTGTTTTACGGCCTCAATTTCAAATTGGCAACTACACTTCGAAACATATATTTTTGACAAATTCTCGATTAAAAATTTGAAACCTGAACAAAAGCACATTCTTGAATGGCTAATAGATGGTCTAGATGGTATGGATTCAGTCGTTAAACCTGTAACTATTGTTCGGAGTTAAAGTTTTCGAGGCTGCATGATTAGAAATCACATTCCGACTGTCACTTTCATAATCTGGTAAGCGATGCTCTGATTGGTCGGGTGAAAGGCCGTTCTGACGTGACCCCTAATGGGATTCTCAGATCTTTGTCTAGCGGTAGCGAGAACTGAGGTCTCATTTTAATGAGATTGAGAATTACCAGGCTTGTCAATATACTTGGAACATGTGCGCTCATATCATATAGTGCTTGAGAACATCTTGCAGGGTTTGAAACCTGTGGTTGCAATGTATGACCAGACGTCTTGTATTTCTTGGTGTCCCATATTTGCCAAACTATCGATTGTTATGCAAACTATTGACAATACTATTGGGTCCAAATACTACGAGTCCAAATTTACTACCCAGGTACCCACCACGCTATAACCCGATCCTACCCGCTATATGTCTCAAGACTTGGGTGTAAAATGTTCGATTGGGAATAGTTTGACCGTTACTAAGCCCTGGTAAAATGTATTTAGATACACTTATCCTTTAGCCTGCTGAATTATTTTCACACTTCTTACCCCTGCCTGCTGGATTAATTTTAGCATAAGGCGCTCTAAAGAGGGTGGGTGATTTCAAACAGTCGGTGCCTCATTAAACAATGGCCAATTGAAGAAATATTTTGCACATTTATTCCTGATAGAAAACTACACAATTCTATATAAAAATATCCTGGTGTTTTCAATTATACCAAAGTTTAAACCAAAACGAACACAAAATTTGTAAATTTTCTTGAACTTACCTGAATTGCGTTATTGAAGGTGGTTTGCATTTCATGCTAGGAACCTTTTAATATCGTAACATTTTTGCAAATTGATTTCAATAATCATATCTCCGATATCTTAATTTTAATTGAGTAAAAATTCGGGTTTTATAATCGGCACATATCAGCGCGATGGTAAATTATGAACCATTTCAGTGAATTTATTATCTAAACGTTAAACAGAAAAATAACTTAATTTTCGAGGTCATCATGTCGGTTGCAGAAATACGATTATTCGGGTAAATCTGACGTGTCATGTTATAAAATTTGCAGGAAACAATTAATGACTTATAAATATTCACTAATCCTAATTTCAAGCGTTTTGGTTGAATATTTACGATATACAAAAATAAACAACCCGTGTCATGATGCTAGCAGACGTCCTAAAATCAAACATGGCGCGCTTCGCCCGACCTCCGCATAACTTATTGCTATTTTAATATCAACAAAGTTTACATTGCCTTTATAAATATAACTTAACGAAAGTTGACGATCTTCTCAATCGAAGAATGTTTTATTCGTCATATTCCAATAAATATGACGAGAGAAAAATGAAAATAAAGATCGTGAATTCTGACAGCACTATTTCAATAAGTGCAAAGGTCACCGGATGTGATGTCACAGACAGGGGTAGTCTGCTGATAAGCTTTCGAAACAAAACAATTACAGTAAATTTTGAAATAGTTCGCCTATCACATACAGCAAAAATATAAGTCGATACACAGTATCAGTAATCACCACTAACATGAAATAAAAATGTGACTTTGACGATATAATTCGCGTATTAGTTAATCCGTTTGACCTTGCATGCTCCCGTGACCCGGAAACGGTAGACGATAAATCAACATGCCACATGCAAGTTTCTCGGTATCTTTTATTTGAACTTCTGTTGATATTTAAAAAATCACCATTCAATGTTGTGAATATAAATGGGACATGATTCATATTTCTGCGATGTACATGCTGATAAGTTTCACTACAACAAGTGTATCCCACGCAATACGTCTATGGATATCGTCGATCAGCAAGATCACCCTCAACAACAGGTGCGCGAAAATGGGCTTGACAAAACTTGTTTCAAAATTACATCCCCGCGTTGCCGAATATGATAGGGTATATATAAGCAATAAAATGCTACGTACATATTTTCGGTGTTAGTTCCACATTACATTTAGGATAGTTTTCCTTTCGGGAATACATTCATAGATTCTAGCATGATTTTAGAACAGTTTCACGAAGGATTTCTAAATTTATTCCAAAAATATGAAGACCACCATGATTGCGCATTGATGATAGATTTGTAATTGTTTAATTATTTACAGCTGTTTACAGGTTTTAAAATTTTAAGTTATATTTAATAGTTATTTTTCCCACAATGATGGTGTGTGGGGACAGTAAATATTAGTCTTTGCATCAGCACAGTGTAACTGATCAAACTTCAATTATTATCTTTAGTTTAAACATATTTATACAACAATTATTATCTTGCACTCTGAAAATCAACTATGTGAATAAGTAACTCTCTGATGTCATCATTTTAATTTTAGTATTCCATGAATAATGAATAAATCAGATCCTTAACATATACATACTAAACTCATATGGACATTAATCTTGTGCATTATGTGGTTTGTTTCCAAATAAAACAATTCTGAAATATAATTTAATAGGAATTAATTTAATTTAATTACAGTAACAGTACTTGTAACAGTACATGACATTTTTGTTTGTTTAATCACAAGAACCATGGTGGCACATGAGCTGGTAAGTTTGCCATAGGTTTCTTAGAAAATGCTATCTCAGTCTTCTGGTTGGAATGAAAAGAAACATGCCTGTGTACATGTTTACCCTTGCCAGATGTATTTTTTCCAGTCAGCCAATCCATTACTTTTGTTCACCTTATGTGGTCTATTTTATACATACAGGTACTGCTTCCAACCTGTTTTTTCTTTGTATGCAATCACAGTATCACAACTTCCTCAGCTGGTGTGTATAAAAGTTCCCCTGTCATCATGAAAAAAGAATTATAAAGGAAAGTCATATTTTCATTCAAAAACATATCTGTCTTTCCTTGAATACTCTTTGTCTAAGTGCCAGAAATGTCAGTGTCATAAAAAAAATTAAAAAAGATTTTCATAAGGACTTTTCTTAGATAGACCTAGATCTAAGTCAAACCATGTGACTAGTTAGGTAGAATTATAACCTTATAAGCCCTCATTTCTGAGGTGTCCATATTTTTCACCTTTTTAGGACTAAATGTGATCCGTGTAGATCTGCCTGTTTTGTTATGTAAAACAAATTCTTGTCTTAAAAAAATGAGAAAAGGAATCATTCATACGAAAATTTTTTATCCCATTGATTCACGAAAATCAGTTGAAATGTACAGTGGTGACTTTTGTACCCAAAATTTCTAGTAATTTGTTACCCAAATGGGTATGTGATTTTGTAGATCTACCTAGAATTATTTCAAAGATATACATTAATTTGGTGTCTTAAACTTAACATAATATCACTTTCCTATCAAAACAATTCATTCTTACTTTAACCAAAATAACTGGCCTCTCCTTCTGTGACAAGACGTCAATTTTCTCTCAAAACTAAACAATCAATTTCAAGGATCACAGTCATAATCATATTTGGAACTTGATGAAATATTTTATTATGTGTTCTGTTCATCTACATGAAAACATAAATATAATTATAGATTATTGTCTTATTTTCTTAGGTACAAATGCACAAAGTATTTTGGGTACAATTTAATTTGTTTTGGGTACAAAATCACATATATATATATAAATAGGAGCCTAGAATCTATATATATTTACACCTCGTTGTGTACCAAAATGTTATCGGTTCAGAGGACGGGAGGTTCTCAGAAAGTTTTCAACAACATCTTTAATATTTAAATTGTTCTTTTTGTAATGTTAGACCAATAACAATATTATGTTATTATTATGGCATATCAATACGTTGTATCGCTCTCCGTTGCGTTCGTTTTTAGAAAATATTTTAAAATTAAAATCATCGAGCGTGAAATCCATTACGGTTTCGGATTTAGACTTACACATTTGATGGCGACAATCACGAAGAAATATGAAACAAATAGGAGTGAAGATTGCTCTCCATATCAATAAATAGTAAATTATGTATTTTCTTTTGAATTTGAATCTATTTCGGAATTTCTTTATGATAGCTTACCAACTTTTGCATATTTTGCTTCCATGTGTCACATGCGGTACGTGCTTCCGGTTTCAGAAATGATAGCTAAAATTGCAAGTATTTTGATTATTTCTCGTAAAATGCATTATTTTGCTATTGAATGGTTTACCTAGAATGTATATCAGTTCAGATTTTGCGTTTCATTCAATATTTGTCATTTTTCGCAGTGTGTGTTGACTTTGTTCAACTCAACAAATCGCGAGTTAGGCCACGCCCAAACGTATCACTGACGTTTGTCGGCTTGTCAATGTGTCGGAAAGTTTATCAAACGAAATCATTTGCAAACTCTTTAAAAATGAAATTCTTTTTACAAAGATTTATACATACGTGTCAATAATTCTAGAAAATTAAGTTAGATGTAACAAAATGATTGTAATAGTCTAACGGGATAACTATGCATGTGGAGTTGTTTGTTTACCGCCGTTGCCATGATCGTACAAGTTCCATCCAATCGATGATGTTACGATTCAGATTGTTTTTGTTTACAATTAGTTACACCGAAAGTTGCTAATTTTTAGAAATAAAGGAACATGGGTGTTTTCCTTTCGTCAGCAAACAAAAAATTATGATCGAATAGGAAAAATGATGAAATTATAAAGAAAATATCGGACTGCATGCCGCTCAACGTGAAGTGCCAAAAGTCAACAATGGCCGTTTCTGGTAGTTGTGTGCCGAGAAGTTTGGTCGAAACATTTTAAACTCGCGATATTTTCTTTTTGAGGTAAATAAATGACTGAACATTTGATATTGAGCAAGCTGAGCATTTATGCATGTCATACGTAATTTAAATGTTACGCAAAGCCTTCTCGGTAAATAGATATGGCGAGTTTTATTTTGGGGTGTTGTTATGCTATTCGCCTGTCGAATGGGTTCGACATCAGATGCACGGGGATGGACACCTCTGTCGAATGGGTTCGACGTTAGCGTGCAGAGCTTTATAAAACAATCTGGTCATGCATACACTGAAGTTGACTGAAGTTTTATCTTTATTCAAACCTATAAAGGGCAGAAGGAATGGGTGCATAGTCAGAAAGAAATGCGTACATTAGTGACTTGTAACCATAGAGTTTTAGATATTTTTTGTTATTAAACAATATATCCCGTGACTAACCACGGGTCCTACTCAGTACCCACCCGACCCGAGTACTCGCATTACCCGTCCCAGCCCTACCTTAGACCTCATATTACCCATATAACAGAAAATACTGGGGAGAGAAGAGAGACTTAAAAAGACATCTGGCCTTAATAAATGTTGCAAGGATTGAAAAGAGCTGTTTGAACTGTTAATCTTCTCATTTGGCTTTGGTACTGACTTACCCGTTTCTTCGACCTTGCAGACGCCTCAGTCATCTTTCCCACCCATCTGCAATTAGTGAACAATATGAACTTCCTGTTTTACAGAATAGTACAATTTGAATCTGTTCTCTCTTTTCAACTTTCCTCCTGACATTCTTATCGTAATGTCAGACCAATATCTTATCATATTGATGAGCATATCCTGAAGTTTCTCATCCTCACTGCAGTCGGTTATTATTATTATTATTATTATTATTATTATTACTATTATCATCATCACATACTGAGTCATTTCATCTCTGCTGTCGGTCATGAAGTAGTAGGACCGGGCACCATACTTGTCGGCCTTGAAGCAGAAGTCCTTGTTGGTGTCGATGTAGCGAGAGATGCTGTAACCTGCCAGGGGTACGGCACCCAGGGGAATCTGCTCCTGGGGTGGGGAAGCAGAGGGGAAGGGTTACTATACATCAACAAGCAGGTCGCTCCATACGGAAACTGTGCTTTCAAGGGTATGGTTTGAATGTTTGTTGCTTAACGCCGCACTCAGCAATATTTCAGCTATATGACGGCGGCTTGTAAATAATTGAGTCTGGACCAGACAATCCAGTGATTGATACTATGAGAAATGGCACTGTATCAACCAAGCCATGAGGACCACCTGATCCATTGTACGCCTCTTACAACAGCATAGCAAGGGAAAGGAGTCAGGTGGTTGAGTATTGCTGACAGTAATGAAACAAATCATAAAAAGGAACTCTTCTGATTATCCTAATGGGGTATATTATCATTTACTTAACCATGTTACAGTGAAACATTATTTTTCTGGAAACTTAACCATTACTGTGAATATACACATGATTTTTGGCCCAAAAATTCAGGTCAGTATGTTGAAGAAATATTAATAAGAAATGTCCATTTCAATTTCATTTTTTTAGGACTTTCTCAAAAATAAAGGCAGGAAAAACAATGGGGGCAGGTGGAACAGGGAGAGAAACTAGTTTGAATTAACTCCCTTCCGTCATAGATACTGATGTGCGTCACGATTTGTGTTTTAAACTATTATGATAGACTTTCAACAGGTTTTGATTATATCATTTAAAAGAATTTATTGGTAGTTACAGTAAATGAAATTGGTCTTCTAAAATTTTATTTACCAACGTCTCTGGTTGGTGGAACAAAGAAAATGCTCTTCATTTCTTCATATTTCTTCACATTTCCATTTTGCAGAGATGGTGAATTTGTAAATCAAGTTTCATAAAAAGTCTGACCTAAGCAGTTGCTTATGGCTTACTCTGCACAGTGCCTTAGTACACACAGCAACTCTTCCCAGGACTACATCCATTCTTAAGTTAGTTGTTATTAGTTACCTGCCGTTAAACAAACACGGACTGACTTGGGTCAACTCGCAGTGTCAGCAGTCTTAGATCAAGTCATTCACACAACACTTTACTTGTCTGTCGACTGAAGTTCAAATCAATCTACCTGTAATGAACATCCTCCATACATAGAAACAAATTCACAACTAATAACACATAATCCAGACCTATTGCGAAAATGGGTAGCCTACCTTTATGCCATGTAACATGTGACCTCACATGACAGTCCCTGCTAAGTGACTATTGAATCATTCAATATTGCCAATTCTCAGTGAATTGAATAAAAACGGCAGAAAGATCATGGGCATTAGCAACTTGAGTAATAAGCAATATTGTATGTGATATTTGACACACAGTAAACTATGTTAATAAAGAACATGGTTATAACAAACTGACGGACATAAGGAACTTTTTTTAGTCCCGTCCATTTGCTGTATATATGCTGTGTTTATGCTTATAATGAACTCAAATTAGTGGACCCTACGAGTTCGGTATAACCTTCTTTTACTGTATATGTATATTGCTAAACGAGTCACTGTTTTTATTGTGAGTGTATTTTAAAACATAGATGATGAGCCAAAGATTGTTAGATACATTTTGAAATACACAAGTTGTATTAAAAACGATATCTAATGGTGATGAGTGTAGTAACTTTTTTTATTATGCCCTTAAACTTGTTATAAATTGGGTTATTTCTTCACAGGTAAGTTATAAATACCTGTAGTAGGCCTATACTGATTTGACACTAAACTATTTCCTTTCCATAGTAAAGACAGCATTGATGCTATAGCTACCATACTGTATGTTATGTACAAGTATTTTCTATGTAAATCTGTATTGGATACTAACCTGCTCGTTTTTGTAATAGTAAAGACAGTTGTCTTGACGTAGTACAAAGAATCGTTTCTTCCACGTCTTCATGAGAGCGGAGTTGCCCAGCTTGTACATACAGCCGGACATGACGCTGGCCTGCAGGTCCCTGACAGGTTGGAAGTCACTGTAGGCCACCTCCAGCTTGATGATGGCCGGGTCTGGGAAGGAAGCAGACACTTAAATTCGGGTAGTGAAAGGTCAAATTGACAATCTTCAAAAGTCTTAGCTGCTTTATGTTTTGGTCGGAAAGAAGTAGAGTTCAATTGTCGATTTTGTTGTTCTACATCGCTTTGGACAGTATTTCAGTTTAATCATGGCTGGTCAGCTTGACAAGGGTTTAACGAGACTGAGATTGTTCACACACCATCTGTCACAATAAAATATCTTGAAAAACATATTGATTATAAATTCTTAGTTTCAAATACACAAAAACGAAACTGGGGAAAAAGCAACAACACAATGTTGAGACATTACCTACGGTTAATGCAGACCTTTTAAAATATAAGTAAGGGACTTAACTTTTGTCTTATTGTTGAAACAAGGGGCAGTCAGGTAGCCTAGTGGTTTAAGCGTTCGCTCGTCACGCCGAAGACCTGGGTTCGATTCCCGACATGGGTACAATGTGTGAAGCCCATTTCTGGTGTCCCCCGCCGTGATATTGCTGGAATATTGCTAAAAGTGGCGTAAAACCATACTCGCTCACTATTGTTGAAACATATCGATACATTACCCAAACTTAAAGGTAACATTTATCCACCACCCAAATATAGCTATACAACAATCTCATTAAACTCAAGTCTTCAATTCCGATTTGATACCTCTGTGAATTAAGATCTGAAGACTCCTCCATAGGAGAAACTATCTGATCAGCCGAAATTCTTGGTAAGAATAAGCGAAGCTTTCTAGCAAGCACCTGTCATTTCTGTATCTCGAAAAAACAAACATAATCAGGGAGGTCTGATCGAAAGATTAACATGCAGCTGCTATCATGTTGTGGATATTTTATACTTCCTGTCTTTTCTGAGCGCCATGGAATCTACACTCAAAAGGCTGTACTGTCGAGGGTATGTTGGTCTTCTGTGGTGTTTGTTTTGCTACGATAGAAATTTCTGAATCAAGGTGGAAGAAAAATGAAGACGAATTGTTCTAAAAAGCTGACATCTGATTGGCTCAAAAACCCACTCATTTTTCATTTAGATTTTGCAGGAAAAGTTGACTGATGGTTCACATATGAAGGTATCCTCAGGTTGTGACACAGAGAGGTATTGTACCTGAACAAATGATCTGATTTAAAAGAGATAATGTGATCTATACAATGCGAGGACAAAGTGTTACATAAATAATGATGACGTTAGTTTCAACCTACTTTGTTGCATGAGTTTGACGATCTCATCGTGCGAGGCCTCAAGGACGTTGACACCATTGACGGAGATAAGAATCTGACCCTCCTTAACCCCTGACCTTTCTGCTGGGCTTCCTGTATGAAACATGGCAAGGAAATGTGTTACCACAAATGAGGAACCAGCTCATAACTCACGTAATCACCACTGTCAACACTCATCAGCAATATCTGCAACATTTTCACTCAAATCATGAAATAAATATTATCCCTAACACAGTAACCAAGTGTGTGTGTGTGAGTGAGTTGGATCTATTTACATAACTTTAAACAGAAGTTCATCTGATGAAGGGTCTTTGATGAAGAAGTTGCCACTTTAGGCTCTTCTGCCAAAATTACATTCTCATTCCATTTTACTTCAATCTTTCTTTTCATTCTAGCTACTGTCTCAGTAATGTTCAGTTTGAAATCATATTTCTTCACCCAACTCCCTTGGGCCAGACGTATTTTATTTGGGGCGGTGGGGTAGCCTTGTGGTTAAAGCACTCGCCCATCACACCGAAGGCCCAGGTTTGAATCCCACATGGATACAATGTGTGAAGCCCATTTTTGGTGTCCCTGGCTGTGATATTGCTGTGATATTGCTAAATGCGGCATAAAACCCAACTCACAAACCCATTTCATTTGATTGTTTACAAATATCTGCTAAATAATCCATATACCTACCAACCAACCAACCAATAATCCATATACCAACCAACCAACCAACCAACCATCCATCCATTCATCATCCATCCATCCATCCATCCATCATCCATCCATCCATCCATCATCCATTCATCATCCATTCATCATCCATCCATCATCCAACCATCATCCATCATCCATCCATCCATCATCCATCCATCCATCCATCATCATCCATCCATCATCCATCCATCCATCCATCATCCATCCATCCATCCATCCATCCATCCATCCATCCATCCATCATCCATCCATCCATCATCCATCCATCCATCCAACCAACCATCAATCCATTCATCATCCATCCATCCATCCATCCATCCATTCATCATCCATCCATCCATCATCCATCCATCATCCATCCATCCATCATCCATCCATCATCCATCCATCCATCATCCATCCATCCATCATCCATCCATCATCCATCCATCCATCCATCATCCATCCATCCATCCATCCATCCATCCATCCATCCATCCATCCATCCAAATAGAAATCATCTCCTGCACTGGCCAGTGACACGTGATGGATTATTGTTTAAATCAAAATTCTAATCCGTCAAAGATGGAGCTGTCTGACATAATAAAAACTATATTTCACTATACAGTTGGTCGAATGCACAGACAGAAAAAATGAACAAGAGTCATCAGAAAGATGACATATCCCCCCGGCAGCTGTCTGTAAAGTAACCACAAGTAAATGTGCTATTCTGTATTCTGTGTTGTTTTTTTTTATGCAAACAAATGACAAATTACAAGAAACAATGACTAAACTAGCGTACAGTCACGAAGTCATCTATATCCCCCGCCCATTTTAACACATTATGGTCCCAAACCAGGTAAGTGACCCAACATTTCTTTTAGCCCATTTCAAAATAGCTGCAATGGAAATTCTAAAATAAACATTTCTAAAACTTATTAGCCGGCACCAGTTCAGCAAGAGTCTGATAGACATGAAAAGTTTTGTTAGAAAGTTTTGAATAGGTTTTGAGATATGCTCTGGAAACGAACTCTACCCTATAGAACCTAAGTCGAACTTGTTGCCATGGAAACATAAAAAATTCCTAAATAGCAAAAGGCACAACTTCAGTATGAATTGAAGTCTATGTCCAACTTCATTCCATCAAAATTTAAAAAAATAAAAATTAGAAATATCCCAAAATATCAAAAGGCACCACTTCAGTATGTGCCTGATAGATTTGCCAAGTTTCAATCAAATACACTGAATGGTTTTTTAATTCTGCCCCGGAAACCAACCCCATCCCCAATTGAGTCTATGTCCAACTTCATTCCATAAAAAATTTTAAAAATAAAAATTAGAAATATCCCAAAATATCAAAAGGCACCACTTCAGTATGTGCCTGATAGATTTGCGAAGTTTTGATCAAATACACTGAATGGTTTTCGAATTCTGCCCCGGAAACCAACCCCATCCCCAATTGAGTCTATGTCCAACTTCATTCCATAAAAAATTTTAAAAATAAAAATTAGAAAAATCCCAAAATATCAAAAGGCACCACTTCAGAATGTGACTGATAGATTTGCCAAGTTTCAATCAGATACACTGAATGGTTTTTGATTTCTGCCCCGGAAACCAACCCCATCCCCAATTGAGTCTATGTCCAACTTCATTCCATCAAAATTTAAAAAAATAAAAATTAGAAATATCCCAAAATATCAAAAGGCACCACTTCAGTATGTGCCTGATAGATTTTCCAAGTTTCGATCAAATACACTGAATGGTTTTCGAATTCTTGCCCGGAAAAGGAAATGATTACGGACGGACAGACGGACGGACAGACTGGCTGATCGCTATATCCCCCCACATTATATGCCGGGGGGATAAAAAGTGATGCCTTGTGCAGAAGGTAAATATTGACTTTGTTATTCACAGCCCTTGAATGTCTCACACAACTCAAACACTCACAGGTAATTGTGGACAAAAGTCATGTGAAATATCCATCACAAGCGTGTAGGTAGGTGAAGGCAGGTAAGAGGGTTGGATGGTAGATAATGACACCAGTGATTGTATTACCTCCTTAAGAATCAGGGTTGTCACATGCAGTATGTTCCAGTGAACAACTAAAGTCCCCCATAACCTACATACGTCTCAGGTCACATTCCCTTTAGAGATAGGAGTCAGAGCTAGGTCAATAATGATTGGCTCTTAATATATTTTCTTTACGCTGCTCTACTTTTTTATGGCGGTACGCGTCCAGGCGCAGATAGACTGTGGCACATGGCTTGCTCATACTAAAAGTATTGAATTAAATTCAATCACTCACTCTACACAAAATACTGCCTTTGCGTGCTTGCATTGTTGTTCAACACAAACAGGTAACATCTGACGTATATCTAGTTACACAAGTGACAATGTGAACATGTAACATCATGCACCTATAATGCACCTATGAACTCCAGCTTTGCGTATAAGATTCCTGCTGTAGACAAAGTTCTAAGAACCCTGGCTGAACACTAGTTTCTGCATCGACAGAAGGTAATGTGAGATGTGAAACCAACCTGGGTCGATGGATGTGATGTAGGCTGGCTGACAATCCAGGATGTGGAGCCCAAAATCTTGTCCGCTCTCTGAATCCTGTTTTTCTATTATGACCACTTTCTCCTGATCTGGAATGACCAACATTTATTTGTTTCAATATGCAGTTTGGACCACAATGTGTATTGGCTGTCAATAAACATGTCTGAAATTTAGATGTGGGAGACATTATTGTTAAGGTAAACAAGTTTATCACTTGAATCACAGAGATTTTTGAAAATGAATTCCTCTTCCGACTCCTGGTAAGTGGGTGAGTCAGTTCCCTCAACCATGTTAACAGTGTTGTGGAGAGTGAGTTGTGTTTAACACCACTGTGAACAGTATTCCAGTTATACCAGTGTGTGAGCTTCACGTGAGAGGGTAGAAAGTGAGAGAGTGAGTTGTGTTTAACACCTCTGTGAACAGTATTCCAGTTATACCAGTGTGTTAGCTTCACGTGAGAGGGTAGAAAGTGAGAGAGTGAGTTGTGTTTAACACCACTGTGAACAGTATTCCAGTTATACCAGTGTGTTAGCTTCATGTGAGAGGGTAGAAAGTGAGAGAGTGAGTTGTGTTTAACACCACTGTGAACAGTATTCCAGTTATACCAGTGTGTTAGCTTCATGTGAGAGGGTAGAAAGTGAGAGAGTGAGTTGTGTTTAACACCACTGTGAACAGTATTCCAGTTATACCAGTGTGTGAGCTTCACGTGAGAGGGTAGAAAGTGAGAGAGTGAGTTGTGTTTAACACCACTGTGAACAGTATTCCGGTTATACCAGTGTGTTAGCTTCATGTGAGAGGGTAGAAAGTGAGAGAGTGAGTTGTGTTTAACACCACTGTGAACAGTATTCCGGTTATACCAGTGTGTTAGCTTCATGTGAGAGGGTAGAAAGTGAGAGAGTGAGTTGTGTTTAACACCACTGTGAACAGTATTCCAGTTATACCAGTGTGTGAGCTTCACGTGAGAGGGTAGAAAGTGAGAGAGTGAGTTGTGTTTAACACCACTGTGAACAGTATTCCAGTTATACCAGTGTGTGAGCTTCACGTGAGAGGGTAGAAAGTGAGAGAGTGAGTTGTGTTTAACACCACTGTGAACAGTATTCCAGTTATACGAGTGTTAGCTTCATGTGAGAGGGTAGAAAGTGAGAGAGTGAGTTGTGTTTAACACCACTGTGAACAGTATTCCAGTTATACCAGTGTGTGAGCTTCACGTGAGAGGGTAGAAAGTGAGAGGGAGTTGTGTTTAACACCACTGTGAACAGTATTCCAGTTATACCAGTGTGTTAGCTTCACGTGAGAGGGTAGAAAGTGAGAGAGTGAGTTGTGTTTAACACCACTGTGAACAGTATTCCAGTTATACCAGTGTGTTAGCTTCACGTGAGAGGGTAGAAAGTGAGAGAGTGAGTTGTGTTTAACACCACTGTGAACAGTATTCCAGTTATACCAGTGTGTGAGCTTCACGTGAGAGGGTAGAAAGTGAGAGAGTGAGTTGTGTTTAACACCACTGTGAACAGTATTCCAGTTATACCAGTGTGTTAGCTTCATGTGAGAGGGTAGAAAGTGAGAGAGTGAGTTGTGTTTAACACCACTGTGAACAGTATTCCAGTTATACCAGTGTGTGAGCTTCACGTGAGAGGGTAGAAAGTGAGAGAGTGAGTTGTGTTTAACACCACTGTGAACAGTATTCCAGTTATACCAGTGTGTTAGCTTCATGTGAGAGGGTAGAAAGTGAGAGAGTGAGTTGTGTTTAACACCACTGTGAACAGTATTCCAGTTATACGAGTGTTAGCTTCACGTGAGAGGGTAGAAAGTGAGAGAGTGAGTTGTGTTTAACACCACTGTGAACAGTATTCCAGTTATACCAGTGTGTTAGCTTCACGTGAGAGGGTAGAAAGTGAGAGAGTGAGTTGTGTTTAACACCACTGTGAACAGTATTCCAGTTATACCAGTGTGTTAGCTTCATGTGAGAGGGTAGAAAGTCAGAGAGTGAGTTGTGTTTAACACCACTGTGAACAGTATTCCAGTTATACCAGTGTGTTAGCTTCACGTGAGAGGGTAGAAAGTGAGAGAGTGAGTTGTGTTTAACACCACTGTGAACAGTATTCCAGTTATACCAGTGTGTGAGCTTCACGTGAGAGGGTAGAAAGTGAGAGAGTGAGTTGTGTTTAACACCACTGTGAACAGTATTCCAGTTATACGAGTGTTAGCTTCATGTGAGAGGGTAGAAAGTGAGAGAGTGAGTTGTGTTTAACACCACTGTGAACAGTATTCCAGTTATACGAGTGTGAGCTTCACGTGAGAGGGTAGAAAGTGAGAGAGTGAGTTGTGTTTAACACCACTGTGAACAGTATTCCAGTTATACCAGTGTGTTAGCTTCATGTGAGAGGGTAGAAAGTGAGAGAGTGAGTTGTGTTTAACACCACTGTGAACAGTATTCCAGTTATACCAGTGTGTTAGCTTCACGTGAGAGGGTAGAAAGTGAGAGAGTGAGTTGTGTTTAACACCACTGTGAACAGTATTCCAGTTATACCAGAGTGTGAGCTTCATGTGAGAGGGTAGAAAGTGAGAGAGTGAGTTGTGTTTAACACCACTGTGAACAGTATTCCAGTTATACCAGTGTGTTAGCTTCATGTGAGAGGGTAGAAAGTGAGAGAGTGAGTTGTGTTTAACACCACTGTGAACAGTATTCCAGTTATACCAGTGTGTTAGCTTCATGTGAGAGGGTAGAAAGTGAGAGAGTGAGTTGTGTTTAACACCACTGTGAACAGTATTCCAGTTATACCAGTGTGTGAGCTTCACGTGAGAGGGTAGAAAGTGAGAGAGTGAGTTGTGTTTAACACCACTGTGAACAGTATTCCAGTTATACCAGTGTGTGAGCTTCATGTGAGAGGGTAGAAAGTGAGAGAGTGAGTTGTGTTTAACACCACTGTGAACAGTATTCCAGTTATACGAGTGTTAGCTTCATGTGAGAGGGTAGAAAGTGAGAGAGTGAGTTGTGTTTAACACCACTGTGAACAGTATTCCAGTTATACCAGTGTGTGAGCTTCACGTGAGAGGGTAGAAAGTGAGAGGGAGTTGTGTTTAACACCACTGTGAACAGTATTCCAGTTATACGAGTGTTAGCTTCATGTGAGAGGGTAGAAAGTGAGAGAGTGAGTTGTGTTTAACACCACTGTGAACAGTATTCCAGTTATACCAGTGTGTTAGCTTCATGTGAGAGGGTAGAAAGTGAGAGAGTGAGTTGTGTTTAACACCACTGTGAACAGTATTCCAGTTATACCAGTGTGTGAGCTTCACGTGAGAGGGTAGAAAGTGAGAGAGTGAGTTGTGTTTAACACCACTGTGAACAGTATTCCAGTTATACCAGTGTGTGAGCTTCACGTGAGAGGGTAGAAAGTGAGAGAGTGAGTTGTGTTTAACACCACTGTGAACAGTATTCCAGTTATACCAGTGTGTGAGCTTCACGTGAGAGGGTAGAAAGTGAGAGAGTGAGTTGTGTTTAACACCACTGTGAACAGTATTCCAGTTATACCAGTGTGTTAGCTTCACGTGAGAGGGTAGAAAGTGAGAGAGTGAGTTGTGTTTAACACCACTGTGAACAGTATTCCAGTTATACCAGTGTGTTAGCTTCATGTGAGAGGGTAGAAAGAGAGAGTGAGTTGTGTTTAACACCACTGTGAACAGTATTCCAGTTATACCAGTGTGTGAGCTTCACGTGAGAGGGTAGAAAGTGAGAGAGTGAGTTGTGTTTAACACCACTGTGAACAGTATTCCAGTTATACCAGTGTGTTAGCTTCACGTGAGAGGGTAGAAAGTGAGAGAGTGAGTTGTGTTTAACACCACTGTGAACAGTATTCCAGTTATACCAGTGTGTTAGCTTCATGTGAGAGGGTAGAAAGAGAGAGTGAGTTGTGTTTAACACCACTGTGAACAGTATTCCAGTTATACCAGTGTGTGAGCTTCACGTGAGAGGGTAGAAAGTGAGAGAGTGAGTTGTGTTTAACACCACTGTGAACAGTATTCCAGTTATACCAGTGTGTGAGCTTCACGTGAGAGGGTAGAAAGTGAGAGAGTGAGTTGTGTTTAACACCACTGTGAACAGTATTCCAGTTATACCAGTGTGTGAGCTTCACGTGAGAGGGTAGAAAGTGAGAGAGTGAGTTGTGTTTAACACCACTGTGAACAGTATTCCAGTTATACCAGTGTGTGAGCTTCACGTGAGAGGGTAGAAAGTGAGAGAGTGAGTTGTGTTTAACACCACTGTGAACAGTATTCCAGTTATACCAGTGTGTGAGCTTCATGTGAGAGGGTAGAAAGTGAGAGAGTGAGTTGTGTTTAACACCACTGTGAACAGTATTCCAGTTATACCAGTGTGTTAGCTTCATGTGAGAGGGTAGAAAGTGAGAGAGTGAGTTGTGTTTAACACCACTGTGAACAGTATTCCAGTTATACCAGTGTGTGAGCTTCATGTGAGAGGGTAGAAAGTGAGAGAGTGAGTTGTGTTTAACACCACTGTGAACAGTATTCCAGTTATACCAGTGTGTGAGCTTCATGTGAGAGGGTAGAAAGTGAGAGAGTGAGTTGTGTTTAACACCACTGTGAACAGTATTCCAGTTATACCAGTGTGTTAGCTTCATGTGAGAGGGTAGAAAGTGAGAGAGTGAGTTGTGTTTAACACCACTGTGAACAGTATTCCAGTTATACCAGTGTGTGAGCTTCACGTGAGAGGGTAGAAAGTGAGAGAGTGAGTTGTGTTTAACACCACTGTGAACAGTATTCCAGTTATACCAGTGTGTGAGCTTCATGTGAGAGGGTAGAAAGTGAGAGAGTGAGTTGTGTTTAACACCACTGTGAACAGTATTCCAGTTATACCAGTGTGTTAGCTTCATGTGAGAGGGTAGAAAGTGAGAGAGTGAGTTGTGTTTAACACCACTGTGAACAGTATTCCAGTTATACGAGTGTGTTAGCTTCATGTGAGAGGGTAGAAAGTGAGAGAGTGAGTTGTGTTTAACACCACTGTGAACAGTATTCCAGTTATACCAGTGTGTGAGCTTCATGTGAGAGGGTAGAAAGTGAGAGAGTGAGTTGTGTT